CCCTTTCCCCTTTAAGTATGGGTATTGGCCTCATACCAACCTAAACCTTAAATTACTTTTCCATTTTAGCTTAAAAAATAAATTCACTCAAATAGGCATAGAAGTGCAACATAGTACAATAAGATTTTCCACTTTCACATGCAAATAATGCGACTTACCTTAGGTAGGACGTGATGAAGATGATGTTACATCTTCCTCAATAATTCTCTTTCATTTGTTTTTATTTTTTTAAACTCACATATTTAATTAAATTACTTGAAGTAGAAATTGGGTGCTAACACGAATAATGGAGGAGGTCGATAGACAAAGAAGGAAAGGGAAACGAGGCGGTAGAGTGAAAGATGAGAAGAAAAATGAGGAAGAAGAAGAAGTTGCCAAATTTATGGACTTTTTTTAATGATGTACATTATTTTGTTGGTAAAAAATAAATGATTGTAGTTGTTTAATTTTAAAATAGGCTATTTTTTGTTTTAATTAGCTATAAAAAAATCATATATCGCTAAAATCCCATAATTAGTGGAGGAAAACATCATATGTTGCTATTTGAATTTTTTAAAAATGCATCATTTTTTTTCACTTTATTGCAAAAAAGTTGAATCTGTTGTAAAGATACGTTTTTATAACTATTTGATTTTAAATAGGGCCATTTTTCTCTTAATTAGTGATGAAAAACATCATTCGTCGGTAAAATCCCAAAATTAGAGACAAAAATCGTTCATCACTATTTGATTTATTAAAAATATACACCTTTTTTTCATTTTTAATGATGGAATTGAGTCCGTCGCTAAAGATAATTTTTCATCATTATTTGATTTTAAATTAGGCCATTTTCTCTTAATTTGCAACAAAAAGCATCATCTCGTCGCTAAATCCCGAAGGCTTAATATTCTAGAAAATCACAAACTATATACATTTTAATGATTTTAGCTCATTCTTTAAAAATTATATAGAATGATCACCAACTAAGCCTCAATAACAATACTAGCATCGATCTTATTTTTGGATCAAAATTTCGAGCAACACCGACATGATAAGTGACAAAGCATGACACATAGGCTTTAGCAAGCCACATGGCAATCCATGTAAGCATGACATATGGAGTTTAGCAAGCCATGTAGGATCTATATAATTGATTTGTTACGTCATTGCTTACTTGAATCCTACGTGGCTTGCTAAAGTCCACGTGTTATGCTTACATGGACTACCACATCATCGTTGTTCGAAATTTTAGTCGAAAAATCAGATCTATACTAGTATTATTATTAGAGACTTGGTTAGTGATTTTTCTATATAATTTTTTAAAAAATTAGCTAAAATTATTAAAAAAGTGTATGTTTTGTGATTTTCCGAAACATTAAGCCATCCCAAAGTTAGCAATGGAAAACATCATCTATTGTTGTTTGATTTTTTTTAAATGCATTATTGTTTAATGATAGAAATGAGTCCATTATAGTTTAATTTTAAATTGGGCCATTTTTCCCTTATTTGGTAATGAAAATCACCATCCGTCATTAAAATCTCAAAATTAGCGACGAGAAAATATCATCCGTCGCCAAATTTAGTGACGAGAAAACATCATATGTTACTAAAATTCCTCACAACTTAGTTGGTATTCCATTGCTGACTTAACTCGTTAAAAATTTATCACGTAATTCAATGATGGGAGTGTTCTGTCGTTGACATTATGTCATTAATCTATTGATATTCCATTGCCATTGACCCAAAATATCAAAAAAATTATAACTGTCGCTATATTTTGTTAATTTATCCCTATAAACCGTTAACTTCATGTTCGTCATTGATTTCCATCACTATTTAATTTTTTTCTATAGTGTTAGGTTTGGCTTGTTCTATCATATGTGTATTAATTTGGTTCGATGCTCATATATAAGTCTTCCGAAGGTGGAATTATGATGCATGATAATTTTACTTATGCAATAGTTAGGATAGGAACTATTTGGTCGGGATGCTCGATGATTTGGTGAGAAATTTTTTCGGGGTTTTACATGTTATCAATTTGAAGAAAAAATTGATTTCTTTTAACCTCTTTGATCATTGTGGGTTTAATTAATTTGCTGAAGGTGGAGTTTTAAGAGTCACTAAAAGTGTTCTAATTGTGATAAAAGCAATCCCTTTATGTCCTAGAAGGTTTTAATATTTCAAAGATGTGGATATTGTTTCCTTTTTTATGATTTTTTTGGAGTTAACAAGTTAAGACATATGACAACCAAGGCATATGGAAGAGAGGGAGATTGCCTATTTTGGATAAATCTCGTACTTTATGTTGTTAAATTTTAAGAATTGTAGATTTAAGCACGACCTAGTTCATTTGATAGGCCAAACCGAGTTAGTTTTAAAGGTTTGGATAATCTATTTAGTATGTTGAACAAACCTCTTTTTGATGACAAGTTTAAGCATAGCTAGACTTATTTGATGCTTACATTAGTTAAGCATTCTCCATGACATTGGTGGAGAAGACGGAGAAATATTTTGATTATTTAGTTTTGCTTCATTAGGTTCAAGTTAAAGTGGAAATTTTTGTGATGTGAATCAAATTAAAGTCATGTTTTTTTTTTTTTATTGCATATAAAAGGTTTTAACTCTAGACCTTTGGGAGAAAAAACACTAATGCCCATTGAGTTATATGTCATTAGCTAGTCATATGGTTCTTTTGATACATTTAAACTATAGATTAGTTGTTCATTTTCTTAAGTGGTCACTTGACCTAAACAAATCGGGTTGAAAAACCCTTTCTTTTCTTAAGTTTGATATTTTTTTGGTATAACTAGAATGAGATGCATTCTTTTGCATGCGTGAATCCATTTTGTACATGAAATAGCACTTTACGATAAGAATAACCAATTTTGTGTAAAATTTAAAGAAAAATTGAGAAGTCCTTTTGAATCCTAATGGATATGTATACTCTCTTTTAGTATTATGTTATTTATTGTTTATTGACTTTTATGAAGATTTGTTAGAGAGTTTGGGTGTATGTGAAATTTGTGGCTTTAGAGTTTAAGTTTTAGCTCTCTTGTACATTGATTCTACTTGTTTGATATGGTAAAATCTCAATCTTCATTACGTGAGTCTTCTATTTGTTAGGAACTCGAAATAGACAATTTAGCTCAATCACATAAAATTAGATGTTATTGTTTCTCTCTCTCTCTCTCTCTTTTTAAATCTCAAGATATCTCAAGCTCAAAATCTCATAGTAATTCATTATTGTTCGATCGAGTGTATAAAGCTGGCATAGTTATCTTAGAATTTTTTACGTATACAAGGACTCGAAGCCGAGACTAGTTGCTTAGCGACTAGAGTTTTTTTTTTCCACCCGGATTAACTCTTTTAGAGTTTTCTCATTTAATTTATTAATCTCTTTTGCTATTGCCGAACATTCCCTTTAAAATGATATTTTTGGTTAATATTGATCAAATAAAAGTTTTCTTTTTCTTGTTCGGAATCAAATTAAACCAACAAAGAAGCCATCTTAGTTGTAAGAAATTTTGTGTTACTCATAGAGTAACTAATAATACATATTCTATAGGGGAAAAAAAGATAGGTCTAGGGATGATAATTTGCCCCACCTCGATCAATGTGAGAATTCCTCGAGTTGATCGGGGAACGGGACGGGGCCCATAGTTATTTTGAATGCGAGATGGGGCGAAGATACGCCTTGCCTCATTTGCCCTCGCTCTCACACGCTTTGAAGAAACATTCAAAACCCCATCAAACATAAAAAATATCTCCGAAATTACGATTATACCCTATATTAAATTTGTGACTACTTACTCTTATGATTTATTTTTTATATAAACTATCATTTTTTTATTATGGTTTGAAATTTAATTGTAAAATGAGACGAGACAGGACGAAACAATAAATTAAACGGGACACCGATGCCCCGTGAGGATCCTTATGCTCGTTTAGGGTGGGAATGGTATAAGAAATATTGCCCCGTGTAGGGCACGAGGCAAAATTTTCGGAGGCGAGGCCGCCCCACCCAATTGCCATTCCTAGAGAGAGAGAGAGAAAAAAATTGAGTTTATGTACAAATATTTTTATAATTTTTAATGAGTTCATATAAAATTTTATCTGTTATCAAAATAATTTCATAAAATAAATATTATCAATTACTAGCTACTACATTAATATTTTAAAATCTTTATCAATTACAATATCCTTTTAAAAAATTAAAATAATTGTGCTCTGTATGCATGTTCCGAGACAAAATAGAATATCCACGTTTTCACATTAAGCATTCTTTTCCCAGGATCTCTAAAGCCTTGAGAATCGAATTGACCTGGCATATATATATATATCCCTGCTTATTAGAGGAAATTATAATTTAGTCCTTTTTTTTCAAAAAAAATGAATTAATTATTTTTTGTTTCAAAACCTAATTATTTAATTTTTTTTAATTAGTGTTGACCATAACTAATTTAATTTTTTTATTTTATAAAATGTATCATCTTTTTATCAATATTTTTATAATTTTTACTTATTTTTTTCTACTTCTTAAAATAAAAATCAAAATAAATAAATAAAAATAGCAAAAAACACTAATTTATTCCTGCTCGTTATGGTTCTAGGAAATTGAACTTTGAAAAAAAGTCTCACGCGCTTTGAAGAAACATTCAAAACCCCATCAAACGTAAAAAGTATACCATGTACGATTTATGCATCCGAAGCTTCTACGATCGAATCGTCAAATTCAAACTTCCCAAAATACCCATACTTTTTGGCAAATAATATTTTCTTATTAGGGTAATTTGGGAAAATCATTGATCTTATTAAACACCGAGGTTTCCGCGTACCACATATACTCGTTTGCATGTTACTATAAAAACAAACTTTCCCATATCTACAATGATTATAATTAACTTTTCTTTCTTTGGATCTCTTTCTCTCTCGCGAAACAGATTACATCTTCTTGTTGGCGAAAAGGGTTTTGTCCTGTGTGGATACCCGAAGAAAGGGGGAAAAAAAAACGATTATATATTATGGGGGATTGCAGGCCTTTGGGTTTCTTGATTGGATTGCCTTTTGCTCTTGTTGCTTTGGTTTTGTCTCTCGTCGGTGCTGTTGTTTGGGTGATCGGGTGAGTCTTAATTACCTTCCATTCTCATCTGCAATGTTAATTCTTTGACGAAATTTTCTCTACATTTGTTGCGTAATTCATGCCTATATGTGTCTTTGGTATATGTAAAGACCAATTAAGAATATTCAAACTGTTCTTAATTAATTTCCTCAAAATGAAAAGAAAATAGAATTTGCATTCTTTTTCCTTGTAATCAGGATTGTGTTCTTGGTAGTTCATTGTCTTTTTTTTTTTTTAAAAAAAAAAAGCACATATATTTGCTTATAATGTATTTCAATCTTAATTTGAGTCTATTAAATACTAATGATGAAATTAATAATTGTTGACTCAATGAATAATTTGATGACAGGACTGTGCTGAGTTGCATCTGCCCTTGTTGCATTTGTTGTGCTGGACTCGCAAATCTCGCCGTGAGTCTCGTGAAGCTTCCCATAAAAATCATTCAATGGTTTACTGATTCGATTCCTTGTTGATTTATTCAACAATAGCTGAACAAACTGATGAGGATCTTCAATTTTTATTTTTTTATTGCCAAAAAGTTTGAATAATTGATATGGTAGTTGTAGTTAGAAGTTTGCAGCTATTAATTATTTGTATTTTAATTTATATATTGTATGATTAATGTGCAGATATTAGCTGTAAAGTTTGACGGGGTTGTTGAAAAATGCCAGTTATATATGTAGTGATAGTTAATTTCGAGATGATGTTGTACTATAATAGATCTGCGCGCATCAATTTTCTTGACCACAGAAATCGTGCAAAGCTCTTCATCTTGTAAATCTTATTCCATTCCCTTCTCATGCATTTTACTCTGCATTACTAATTATTTTTTATGTGTAATTCATGTCAAACATTTTTTTTATGCTTGTACAATTAGCTAGCTAGTTCAATGGATTTGGTAATTATTGATTAATTATATTGCTCTCTTTTTTCTATTTATATTTATCCCAAAATGTTTGGATTGCTTAAAATTTTAAATAATACATATTTTTTTAAAAAATCTTTTTAATTGATAAAGAATCATTTTTTTATATATATTTTATGTTCTTCACCGTTAAAAAATCAATCAATATTGTTTATATTTTTTTTCTTATACATACAAATACTTTTAATATAAAATTTTCAAATAAATATTTTTATTATATAAAAAATATTTATTTTTGTAAGGACTTTATTATATATTGAAATTTTATGAGTAATATACACTAATATGTTATTTTTTCATAATTATATTTAATTTAATTATTAATTAATTTAATCATTTTTTTATTTATCAATTGATAACTATATGATATAACAATTGATAATTTTTTAAATTACGTGAAAAAGTTAAAAGGGATTATTTTTCGGAACAGATGAGTATTGATATAATTAATTATTTGACTCTTACTTTGTTCATAAACTTCATCACTTAATACAAATAGATTTAATTTAATTAGCAATTGTTTTTTAATGAAATAAAATTCAAATACTAATAACTATAGTTTTTTGGATTATGATTATATAACTAGGAATGACTACATTCATATTGTAATCCAAATTAAGTTCATTAAGACTTCCATTGAAAAAAAAAAAAGAGTTTCATCACCTTCTTCCTGTCCGTATACTTTTCGTGGCAACTGTCAACCACAGTACCAAACACCAATTTTCCATTTCGTGATTTATTTACTTTTTATTTGGTCTTGCGTCAAATTTTCAGAACATTGATTTTTTTTTTTTTTTTTTTTTTTTTTTTTTTTTCCTGAGACCGATTTCATTAAAGCAACACGAAGCTTCCAAGAAACCGTGTCTACACCGTCATAAATATCAAAGATTCTCCGCCATCTTAAGTTCACAACCTGTTTTGAGTTTTTATGAGAGGATGGGGCCAATCAAGTCGTCTTCCCATGGCTGCCTTACTAGCATGAGACATCTCAGATGATTGCGGACCTTCCAAATTTGAGCAGGTAGCCAACAAGAAAGTTCTCTGATCATTAGACGTTGACCTTGGTACTCTTATCAATAATAATTATAAAGACTTTACAACTTTACAACTTAGTTCTGGTTTTATGGCCCAGTAAAAACTATGTCAGTAAAATCATAATCTCCTAGTTTTTTTTAAAAAAAATTCGGGTATGATTACATAATTGATGAACTTCAAATTCAATTATGTTAAATAGATAAGGTACGGCTAGTATAAAAACATTGAATTATTATCATTTTTGGAGTTACGGTGACCGCTAAAACTTGGATTATCAATAAATATTAGATCTTGCCACACCTTGAAATTCACAAAAGGGAAGGTAGACCCTCAAATTCCTTCTTTTTTTAAAATAGTGTCTGAGTACTTTTATACTTGTCACAACTAAAAAGATTTTACAGTAAAAGAATAAAAATGATGATTGAATGACAGTGTGCTGAGCAGTCTATTTTTAAGACTTGTAGATAGATGAACCAAATTAATTATTGTAAACGAATTAGTATTTATTCAAATGATATTTTTTTGATGTTCTAGCTTAAAAATAAACTAAATTAAATAAATTGTAATCCGTCTACAAAAATCCTAGCAAGGGCTCCGGAACTACCAAAACTAGTTAGGTTGTAAAGACAATAATCCGCAATAGTAGTTAATCTAAACTAATAATGCAACTTATTGTGCTAATATATAGTTAAAATATTAAATCTAAACTAAAAACTAAAAGATTAAACAATTACAAAAAAAAAAAAAAGTTGTAATATAAACGATAAATTAGGAATTACAAACTTGAAATGTTCAACATCACTTAAGATGCAATATTGTTTACAATGCTTCAATCGAAAAGAAAAAATTTATATTCATATAAAACGATGAATATTTATAGATTAGCACTTCAAATATAACAATTATTGAAGGCACTAGAGATCACATTTGTTGTTGTAATAACCCGTCCTAAAAATAAGATTTAAGTTAGTAAGTTATATATTTTTATGATTAAAAAACAAGATAATTGGAGTATTTTAGAGTTTTATTAAGTGAGATAGATCATAGTAGTGGTTATTTTGAGGCTTGACTAGAAGTATATAAATAAGTTTGAAAGTAAAAAAGAAAATAAAATGGGCAGTTTGGTTTAAAAACTGGACAACCTTGCTTTGTCTCTCATTTTCCTTCTTCTTCTACTCCCTTTCTCACCCAAACTCTCTCTACTTCCTCCCATTTCTCTTATCCATTTCTAAGTTAAAACCTTCCCCAATCAACTTAGTAAAATCATAAAACAAGTTGATTAAGGTGTTTAGCTAGATTAAAGCTTGGAAGATTGAAACTCGGGGTTGAAGAGCTAATTGTCAAAAGTAAAAAATTTTGTTTTTTGGTTTTTAAATGAAGATATTTATATGTTTTTATTGATGATTTTGAAGTTAACTTGTATTAGGTTGTTGTTGGAATGAAAAATTGAGTTAGGTTAGGGCTTGAATCAAATTTGGGTTTTTTTTTTCATTAAATAATTAATTATATTAATTGATACTTGAAATGTGATAATAGTGGTATAAAATTGATTATTGGACTATGGGTTTAAGAAATTTTTAAGTTAGTTGAAGATTATTATTAATAAAATCCAAATTTTAGGATTTATTGGTTAATTGTTAAGTAAAGAGTTTAATTATGAGTTCATTGATTGGAGTGAAAGATTTATTATGGATTGATTTAATGATAAGAGTACTTGGATTCAATTTATTTTCGGTGGTGTATTCTATTTTTCCTAGAGGCCCTTTGGATCTAATTCCTTTGCCTAACAAGACTAAAATTCATGGCAAAGTAGTTGATTTTATGATTGGATTGCAAGAAATTCATAAAGCTATGCATGATAATCTAACTCAATCTTATTCTAAGTATAAGGTAGTCGTAGATAAGAAAAGTCGTCATGTGGAGTTCGAAGAGGGTGAGTTTGTGTGGGTCATCTTCATCAAGGATCATTTTTTCTATAAGGGATTACAACAAACTAGCAACAAAGAAGATTGATCTTGTAGAGATAGTTGAGAAGATCAATCCTAATGTTTATTGCTTTAAACTATCAAGTAATATTCGTATTGTAGATGTGTTTAATGTCAAGCATTTGATTTCCTTTCGCGGTGATTCTTCCGATGATGATGATGCGGACAATTCGATGGTGAATTTTCTCTATCTTGGGGGGAATAATGGAGACCATCACGCCTTTAGAGTTTATAATGGTATAAGCACGACCATAACTTGTGAAATTGAAAATGGACTAGTAGGATAAAAAGCTGTTGGTCAAATTTTGAGGTCTCTTGAGCCTAGTTTGATGCGAAATAGCCTAACGAGTCAAAGCCATCGTTATGCCATGACGAGATGTGATTTCGGCCAAAAAAAAAGTCCGTTTAAGCCCTTTAAATGGACTTTTTTTTTTATTTTCAGGATTTTTTTTCTTAATTTTATGGATTTTTATTTGTTTTTCTTTTTTATGTTGGTTTAGGGTTTCATGTCCTTTTTTTTCTCTCTCTCTCTATTTATATGTAAGCCTTTGAGGCTGTAAAATGAGGTTTTTTGGATGATTAATAGACTTTTTAAGAGAGTATCTCAATTTATCCTAATTTCTTATATTCTTTTTTTTTTTTTTGTGCATGAATCAATAGATTGTAGTAAACTCGATATCTGGTATTCATGCACGAATCAACAAATTAATGGTATTTATCCTTTTTTTTGTATAAGCTTCTTCTATGTCATATAGCTTTGCCATCATGCAGTCTTGTTAGATGGATATAGCATTGCCGTTATAAAAATCAATGAAAAACAATCGAGTATGAGGAGCTTGCAGATTGGCCAGTGCACAAGTCGCCTTCCAAACGACTGGGTGAGGGGTTCATGGGTATTTTTCTCTTTCGTTTCTTTTCTTTTTCTTTTTGGGCGATAACTAAGTATCTCTTGCATTCCATTGTATCTATTATTTGAGGTAGCATGTAGATAGGATTTTTTTATACAGTCAAAGAAGATAAAAACATAACAGCGAATAAATTTGACATAGTACTTGTTTAGTTTATTTGAAAACACTCAAGAATTACATTAAAAAAAAAAAAAAAACTATTTCTTGTTATATTGAAAAAAGAAGAAGAGGATGGATATAGTGATATCGCCGATCAGTGGATTTAGCTGCCTAAAATTATTTGTTATCATAGCTATTACTAGGTACCAAGAATTTAAAACATCTGAAATATCTATAACATCTAACTTGATTTAACTTATAATCTTTCCAAGGGTTTCGCGGATAAAGAGTACCTCTTTTCTATTCTAGCTGATATGATAAAAAAAGGGTATGTGTAGTCAATGGATTCCGACCTTATTTTGGCGGGTTAATGGATATTTTATATAAAAACTGAAAGTCAGATGCTTCGGGTCGGTTTACGGAACCAAATTGTACTAACTTGATAAACCAAACCCGACCCGTATATACATATTATTAATTAATATATATTATATAGTTAGGCATCTAACTCATGAAACACC